TCGCAGAATTCTCATCCCCAGGCCATGAATATAAGATCTGGGGTGACAATGAAGGCGTCGTCGAGGGATGGTGGAATGGCAGAAGCAGAAACCGACCCGTCAATGACCTTTTCCGCGACATACACAAGCTCGTTGATGAACGCCATATCCGAGTCCACACCCGATACATCCCAAGTGAAGATAACCCCGCCGACAAATTCTCCCGTGGCACTATTGGTCCCAGCCACCTCCTCCTCCCTCGTATCCCAATCCCAAACCCCCTCACACACCTTATTGTCGACTTCGATTCCCCCGAGACTCCAGCAGAATATAACCACCGACGCTCTAACGGACGCTCTCTACAGCAGGATGAACCCCAATGCCGAACCGAACGTCTTTCTTACGAGCAGTGGCAACTTGAAGAAAACGCTCGCCAACTTGATATCTTCCATTCCCTATGGTAATCGCCACGCTACTTCTTTATACCCTACCATTGCACCTACCTGTAGCATACTTCCGCACAATGTAAATACCAGAACTCGTGCTTACCCTACAAATCTATCCCTTTTACCTTCCTCACTCCGCCCGCACTGTGCCGCCAAAGACCGTCTCCTTCTATGGAAACCAATTGGTGAGCGAACCTTTCAGGACAACAATGGAAACCCAATCGCCCTACCAGAGGAATTCACTCAACGAGTCCAACACGTTTTAGTTAACGGCCTAGCCAGCAGCACTTGTGAAACATATGCCTCAGGCCTCCTCGCATTCCATGTCTTCTGCGACTCCCGATCCATTCCGGAAACGCAGCGTGCCCCATGCAGCAGTGATCTGCTCAGCACATGGATCGCAACCATGGCAGGCCATTACGCTGGAACTTCAGTACGGAACTACACCTATGGACTCCGAGCGTGGCACATCATCCACGGATCTGAATGGCGCACCAACCAAAACGAGTTGGACCTCATCATCCGCGGTGCAGAAAAGCTCCAACCAGAACATTCAAAGCGGAAGAAGCGCCGTCCATACACCACTGAATACATCTCCGAGCTCATGAAGGGTCTCAACCCCAGTGCCCCTCTGGATGCAGCATGTCGAGCCTGTTTATCCACCTCCTTCTACTGCGCAGCCCGAGTCGGGGAGCTCACAGTTCCCACCATCAAAAGCTTTTCCGCACTTTATCATGTCACAACCTCCCGAGTGCGCGAAGGAACAGACCGAAACGGGTTTGCTTGTAGAATCATCTTCATCCCCAGAACCAAGTCCGCCCCAGCAGGAGAGGACATCTACTTCTCTTCCCAGCTGGGAAACACAGACCCTGAACGAGCCCTCGTTGAACACCTAGCCCTAAACAAACCATCCGAGACGGAACACCTTTTCTCATACAACGCTTCATCAGGAACCAAGACTGCACGCCGCCCTTTGACAAAAAAGGCGTTCATCTCTCGCATCCAAGAGGCAGCAAAAAGCCGAGGCCTAGACCCACTTCAAGGCCACGGTATACGGATCGGTGCCACCCTCGAGTACTTGCTCCGAGGAGTTCCCTTCGACGCAGTAAAGGTTATTGGACGCTGGAAAAGCGATGCCTTCCTGCTCTACCTAAGACAGCACGCAGAAATCATGGCCCCGTACATGCAGCCAGAGCTACATCGAGACCTCATCCAGTACACCATGCCCCCAGTACGATGTGAGTGTCTCCTACCTTTCCCGGGTATCCACGCTTGCTGGATGCGTCGTACACTCCTACCTTGTGGGTATCGCAGCTAACCGTGTTTTCATAGGATTTTCCTGACGCCGGGACCCGATAGCCTTTCAGGCTCTCCACCCAAACACCCTAGCAATGCCAACCCTCACATGTATATTTAGCCCCTTGTAATTAGCGCAACATGTGTACATACAATAGCATGAATGTACATCTGCAATCTTCCCCACAGCATCACCTACTCATCCAAAGATATCGGCTTCTAAAGACTTACCTTATTGAAGTCTTGGCGCTGGATTAAGCGCCGAAGCGCTTGTGCCGCGCGGACCCGGCGTGACCAATTTCCTGCTTTCTTTGCTTATACCTACTATACTTTCACCCCTTGACTTCAACCATGGTATCATCTTCATCATCCAACACGTTCGATAACCCTCCTAGTCGCACGGCTGATCTTGAAGAAACATGGCCCTTCCTTAACCTTGGTGTAGACCACATTATGAATAAGCTCGACACAGGCATGAGCTACGCCAGTTACACAAACCTCTACACGACAGTGTACAATTACTGTACATCCACGAAAATGCATGGGAAGCAAGATAGTAATCGGAGTATTTTTCTCTCTTACTCTATGTTTCATAATCGCGACCTGATATATGGTCGTATTCCCTAGGTGGAGCCAACCTGGTCGGCGCAGATTTATACGTGAAATTACAGGAATACTTCCTAGACCATTTTAAGCCAATGAAGGAGGTGAGGTTCCTCCTTTTGCTACGAATGAAATCTAATCGATATACATGCAAGAGAACTGCCGTGTTACATGATGAAGAACTGCTACGATATTACGCCACTGAATGGGATCGATATACGACCGGTGCTAATTTTCTTAACCGTCTATTCGCGTACCTCAATCGGTACTGGGTGAAACGAGAGCGAGACGAAGGGAAGAAAACGGTTTATCAAGTCTACACTGTGTGTCGTGTGCTTCGTACGTATCCCAACTGTTCTAATCCGTTCTCTAGCTTGCATTGGCACAATGGAAGCAGCACTTCTTTGTGCCTATACAGCAGGAGAACTCCAAGCTTGCTGGTGCTTTACTTCGTATGATCGAGCGACAACGAAACGGAGAAGTAATTGACCAGGGTCTTGTAAAAAAGGTCGTCCTCTCTTTCGTTTCGCTCGGTCTTGACAACAATGATCTCAACAAAGAGTGTCTGGATGTATATAAAGAGCACTTCGAAACTCCATTTATCGAGGCTACTGAAAAGTACTACAAGATGGAGTCAGAAACATTCATCGCATCCAACACAGTCTCCGAATACCTCAAGAGGGCAGAAGATCGTCTGCGAGAAGAAGAGGACCGCATAGAGAGGTATCTCCATACCAAAACCCGAAAAGATCTCATATCCAAATGTGAACACGTCCTCATCCGCGAACACTCTGAGCTCATGTGGGAAAGCTTCCAGAACCTACTCGACTTTGATCAGGATGAGGATCTCCAGCGTATGTACGCACTGTTATCGCGGATTCCGGAGGGTCTAGAGCCTCTTCGGAAACGCTTTGAAGGCCACGTCAAGCAGGCAGGCATGTCCTCCATCTCAAAGTTGGTAATGGAAGGGGGCAATGCAGATGGTATTGATCCGAAAGTATACGTTGATGCGCTTCTGGAAGTGCACAAGAAGAACTCGGAGACCGTTGCTCGGAGCTTCAAGAGTGAGGCTGGTTTTGCAGCGAGTTTGGATAAGGCCTGCAGGGAATTTGTGAATCGCAATGCTGCCACTGGCACTTCCTCGACCAAATCACCTGAACTCATCGCTAAGCATGCGGACATGCTATTGAGGAAGAACAACAAGATGGCTGAGGAGGAGGATTTGGAAGGTGCTTTGAACCGAGTGGTATGCAGAATATTGTTTTCTAGATTCTTGCCGATGTTGATCGGATTTAGATGATACTCTTTAAATACCTTGAAGACAAGGATGTCTTCCAGACTTTCTACACCACCAAACTCTCGAAGCGACTCATTCACGGCGTCTCAGCGTCAGACGAGAGTGAAGCCAGTATGATATCGAAACTGAAGGAAGCCTGCGGTTTCGAATACACCAACAAACTTCAGCGCATGTTTACCGGTTCGTAGCCCGTTTTCTACACGTATATTCCCATCAACTGCTCAGCAACTTATTAGACATGAGCTTGAGCAAGGACCTCACTGACTCCTTCAAGGAACGAATGTCCCAGGAACACGACGACACGGACATCACTTTCAGTATCATGGTCCTCGGCACCAACTTTTGGCCTCTCAACCCACCTCCCCACGATTTCGTCATACCCGCCGAAATCCTTACCACGTACGACCGATTCCAGAAATACTACCAAAAGAAGCACTCTGGGCGCAAGCTTACATGGCTATGGAACTACTCGAAGAACGAGCTCCGGACGAACTACCTCAACCAGAAGTATATCCTCATGACGAGTTCGTATCAGATGGCGGTGTTGGTTCTGTACAATAAGAACGATACGATGTCGCTCGAGGAGATTTTTGTCGCTACGTCGATTGGAAAGGATATTTTGACTCAGGTGTTAGGGTTACTCGTGAAGGCTAAGATTTTGATCAATGAAGAGGCAGATCAGTATGATCTGAACCCGGGTATGTCATCTTTCACTGGGCAAACTTAATTTTCAACCGACGCTGGTGCTGTATCTTCTAGGTTTCAAGTCCAAAAAGATTCGTGTCAACCTCAATTTGCCCATCAAGGCCGAAGTCAGGCAAGAGACGAACGAAGTCCTCAAGGCCGTTGATGAGGACCGAAAATATGCCATCCAAGCAACCATCGTCCGGTGAGTCTACCGAGTTTATCCTTTTTCTTATCATTGACTTGCCTCACTCTCCAGTATCATGAAAGCACGAAAGACCATGAAGAACCAAGCGCTTATCCAGGAAGTCATTTCTCAGATCTCACATCGATTTGCGCCGAAGATTCCTGATATAAAGAAGGTTTGTGTCACCTTCAACACGATTGAATTCTTTGAGCTGAGATATTTCACTGTACTCAGGCGGTAGAGACTCTGCTTGAGAAGGAATACATCGAACGAGTAGAAGGGTCGAAGGATACCTTCGCATACGTTGCATGAGACCGAATTTCGAATTTTACGTCCCACGACTGTTAGCCTTGTTCATGATCATCCTCGTACCATTCTCGTAATATGTATTGCTCTCTCAAGTAATTTCTGTATCCACTTGCTGCATATACGACTAGAAATGCAAATCGCTGCCCAAGAGAGGTTTGTGATACGTTCTTAGGAGGCAATCGCACTGGTGTTTAACAATGGTAGCGTGGCCGAGTTGGTCTAAGGCGTTGGATTTAAGAAAAGGGTTTCCCCCCCTTGCTTCCCAATGAAGGTGACTTCGCGCGAGTTCGAATCTCGCCGCTACCATATTGTTTTGCTTTTTTGTTGACTCGAGTCACTTCGACGAACCCCTCCATGTGTGTTGTGCCATTCAAGTTTTGGAAGGGAGATACGGCCCGATCTTCGGCAAGCTCCGAACTTCTCAAGTTTTGATTATCATTCCGGCTCCGACGGAGATCCCGGTCCGTTTACTTAGACTTCGACGTCATGGTCTCCAAAACTGACTCTGGAAAGGCGTATCGCAACGAGTGCACAGGAGATGCTCTCGAAACCGTCAAAAAACACACGAAAGAGCAGGATACGACGTTATTTGGAAGTTGTTTTTGCCCCTTCGTTCAGCGTGTGTGGGTAAGCTTTGAGTATTTGCAGATTCCGTACAAGGTAAGCTCGTGTGAGTAAGTAGTATATCTGTATCTTACTGATCATTCATCAAATACTGTAAGTATGGCCTTCAGCTTGGTAGCGAGCTGATTCAAGCTGGTGAATAGATGAAGTAGACCCGTACAAGAAACCCAAAGATCTCCTTGAGGTTTCACCGAAAGGCTTAGTACCAGGGCTCAAATTGAACCATTTTAATCCTCCGAAGGCTCTCAATGAAAGCACAGTGATTCTGGAGTATATTAATGAGTACTGGATTTCCAGTTTATCTTTTTTCAACTTCTTACTCTTTCATCGTTTGCTAGCCTTGCGGTAGGCTCTAATGGTCGCAGCCTCTTGCCCCCTACAACCAACCCATGTAAGTTGTCCGAGTACATCTATACATGTACTTACTAATAGACTGGTAGATTCCCGCGCGCTCGTGAGGCTCCAATGTGACCACGTCAATCGTTCTCTAGTTCCTTCTTTCTATCGATACCTACAAGCGCAAGATGAAGATGCACAAACCAACGGCGGAAAAGAATTCCATGAATCAATTGAGGGCCTTGTCAAGCTCCTGGAACGTACTGAGAATGAGGTTGTTCGAAGTAGAGGTGCTTCCGGCGAAGGGGAAAGGAAAGCTCTTGCTGTCGGATTGGGTCTGTGGATCGCCGAGAATGAAGAAGACATTGGCCTAATTGATGTTATGGCCGGACCGTGTAAGTGATTAAGGTTCAAAGAGCCCTCTTCTTTTCTTCCATTAATTGTCATGCTCTATTTCACGCAGGGCTGTATCGAGCCACAAACGTACTGAAACACTATAGAGGGTTTGAGCTCCCGCACGGAGAAAAGTTCGACAGATGGATCAAAAAACTCTTTAATCATCCGAATTTCAAAAGCACCTGCAATACAGAAGATTTGTACTTGGACAGCTACGAAAGGTCAGCTTTCAAAGAGGGAGTTAGAATGAGCTTCCTGACTCTTCGACGATAGATACGCATTCAATCGCCCAAATACGAGCCAGGTAGCAAATGCCGTGAACTCTGGTCGAGGGCTTCCTTGATCCTCAATCGAAAAACTGGTAACAAGTGAATTTGAGTGTAAGAATATGGCAAGATTGTACATCTGTAGTAGTGTTCAAGTGATTCCAAGAACTTTCGGTAATTTAACTTCGCAAGGTCCTTTGAAAACAAAATCTGCTCGGGCGTCGCCTGGAGCAGGTTCGATGTTGAATACTGCAACTATACCATGATGGCGTTGAACTCGATATGCGTACCCTGACGCAGGACGAACCTGTACGACAATGTATTGATCGGTGGGATGAGACGAGCAGGAAAATTAATCATTGCGCACCGTGGACGAGGTACCTACAACAAGGCAAAGGTCGGCCCTCTGCACTAGACTGTTAATCTCATCTAGTCTCTGGGATTTTTCGTCAAACCATACTACTCCGGGTCGAGCGAGTTCTCCACATTGATGACAACGGGGTAAAGTTTCCACAGCAATACTCTCCGGCTTGACTTTTGAACTCTGGTTACCATCAGAGTTGTATGATTCCTCTGCTCTCCCAAGGGCGGGACACAGGGGATTTGATAAGTCTTCCTCACAATGCCCACAGCTCGTGCATTGGACATCAAATAACCGTCCATGCATTTCTATCACCGAGTCTAACCTAACATTTTCTGAATCATACTTTGCACGGTTCAGCGTGGACTGATTGGTGAGATCCATTATCGCCTTTACAGACAATCGATCAACGTTTTGGGTGATAAGATGATAGCTACTTGCTGCAGGGGCTAACGTCTTGAGAAAACTCGGTATGGCGAGTTTGGCAAGTGCGCGATGGGCAGCATTAGGAGATGCTTGTAATGCTCTATGGTATAAAGTAGTTGGCGTATATTTGAAGAGATGGGGGAGCAGAAGACTTACTTTACCCTTCGGTGGTGGTAAAATTGCCAGACAAGAGAGGGATCAGCACGAAAAGTGGACGGAGTTGCTAGACTCGATGTGTCTAGGGTACGCCACAAACCACCTTTTTCTCGAAAAGTCGGGAGCCCTGTAGTAGTCAATTAATTCGAGAACTAATTTAAGTGCTAAAGAATGTCCCACCTGAAGCGGCAGACAAACCGGCACCAGCCACCACGATGATGTGCTCAGAGTGTCTGAGGACCTCTCGAAACTCATCGACGGACGTGCTGAAAACCATGATGTGTAGGTCAAGTCACGACAGAGGATATGATAGGAAGCTAGATAAGAGATTTAAATTTTTTGAAAGCTTTCACGGCGGTGTGTGAATTGTGACGGAAAGTTCATCAGCGGAGCTGTCTTCGTGAGCTTTAAGCTGAGAAGGATCTTACCGTATCACCCCAAAAGATTGTTCAATAATTCGCCTTGTTCCCGCTTGTTTTCTCGCACCACCGATAGCGACCTTTACATATATTAGCTGGGAAGCCTCCCGACCTCCCAATGATGCAACTACTACTAATGCATTTAACAAGAGAATAACGTCTGTAGCATGACTATCAATCACACTGTACAATATCCGCCTGTAGGATGTCATATTCGCTGGCTCGAGTGTTCTTAAATTCTGACTCTCCACCTGGCAGCAGCGAGTCTTGTGGGCGAGGTTTTGAATCAAATCACTAGAAATTTATCCCAGCAGCGCTCTTGCTACCCAGAGAGCCTGGGTAATGATTTAAATTCAGTTGGTGGTGAGAAATTAGTGAGTGCCAAAGAGCTATAAAGCTGTCAGGTAAGCTTCCATCGAGAAAATATTAGATATTCACAATTTACCTTCTATAATTATCCAACCTCGCCTTGAGCTGTGAGGCCGTACAAAGGCTTCACAGGGGTGAGAATCACCATTGAGTAAGTATTCAAAAATAAATCATACAGCGAATGGGCATTCAATGAGAACTCCTAGGCCTTCAGTGAGTCAACAGAATAGTTATGAATGAGACTTAGAAATCGCCCTCGGACGGTGGAGTAGGCCCGGGTATCGGAGGGCTTCGGGACGAGTCTGTTTGTAGCTATTAGTCTTAGGTTACTGTATCTGCAGGGGAGTGTCGATGGGTAGTATCCGATCGCATCAAATTCCATCAAGAAGGTCTGAAATGACGGCAACTGACACGTTTTCTGTCCGAGACCTTCGAGATAGCTAGCCAGCGCCTAGATTGTGCACAGTCACCGCGTTAGGGTCTGTGACTCCTTGTGACCATTGACACATCCCGCGGATGCGTTCCAACCATACCGTAAAAATCGCGTTCCATGTAGCCCACCAAATTTAATGCCGATTTACGCGTCAAAATTCAGCATTCCTTGAAACTCCCGTTTGTTCTTGCGATGCGACGTTGGAAGTACGCGCTGGGCTCTTGAACAAGGTTTCGAGGGCCTACTGTGTGCCATGTAGTCTAGTTTATGCCACCAGTCTGTATGCCGATTTTTGCGTGAAATCTCAGCTTTACCTGAAATTCCCATTGAATCTTGCACCGTTGGAATCTTAGACTCCTGGGCTCTTGGTCCGAAAGGCACGAGTCTTTCTGTACCAGAACTTCGCTTGTCCTTCATAATCGTTGACAAGCAACTTGTGCATCCAGCTTCACCCACCATGAACAGCAGAATGTCTATCGATAGCCTGCTCAATCCTCTCACTGTCTCCAATCTCCTGAACCCTGCACCTGCTAACTGCTCTTCTGACGTCCACCCAGGTTACTCATTGGCCCCTGCACGGCAACTAATCCATCGAGACTACAAACTCAATTCGAAAACTACTCTCTCCGTTGTCTACCTCTATCCCCCAGGTTCTGTGGTGGAGTATCCCGAGACAGGGCAGTTGGATGATCAGTCTGTTGGTCATCTTTTTCATTTGGATCCCAAGGGATGGGCCAAGCCTAGCTTGGATTTTTTGTATTCGCGTGGGGAGCCTCGAGGATATTCAAGGGGTAACGTGAGCACTCCGCTCCTTGTTAGTTCTATCACTGGTCAAGAGGTTCCTTGCACCTCGAGATACTCAACCTGTACGTACCTTTAAGATAGCGCCAATATAATTATGTGCTGTTCATTCACAAGTATCCGTTGTAAGGCCAAGGGGTCAAAGTATGCCCTATGTCAATGTACTGCATGGATTCTGTTCATCATTTCTCGGTCTCCCGCACAACGGTTATTACCCGACTGAAAGAGGAGCAACAACAGCATCAGGATACTCTATCACCTGCAAGTGAAGTCTTTGAACGGACCACAGCTCTGCTTGCTGCGCTTATACGAGTTGGCTGCACAAGTCGCACAGCAACAGAGCTAGAGGTAAACGGTGATGAAGATCTTGGCCCAGCTTTGGAGCATGAAGCTGATCGCCAGGAGATGCGACGAGGGTTTCCTGATGCAGCCAATCGATGCACAGGAAACATTATTTTTGGTTTCAGCTCTGAAGATACACCTTTTATACGGTAAAAATTCTACTGATACAAGCTGTCAATTCCTGTGTAATGCTTTATCTAGGTGCCAGCGTTATTCCAGAGCTGATAGAGGCCATTTTTTTGACGGTTCTATTGGCAATGGCCGCTACCATGTTGGTTATCTTCAAGCAGTATTTGAGGGGGATACGGAGGAGATTGTACGTTTAGAAACTGAAGCAAAACTCAATGGCTATGGACCTCTGGCTGCCTGCCAAACTG